GACCGAGCAAGATGCAGTCGTTTCTCTTTGTTGCCACATTTACTGTGGTGGCGATGGCAGTGGTAGTTTACGGAGCTGGCATTGAGTTCTACCAGGAGCAGATTGAACAGCTGAGTAAAAATGCAACGGCTCAGTTACAGTTGAAACGGGAAACGCACCGGTTGGACGTGTCCAATCTGACGGGGAAGACGCTGGAGAAGATCGGTGAGTTCACCGTACAAGGCAGGCGAAGGACTGCGGAGGCACTCGAGTACATCGATTCGTTTAACGGCGAATTGAGCGAGGAGCAGAAGGTTTGTCTCGGAGAAGCGTACGAAGCACAGAGGAAGTACGCCCAGGTGTTGGACGATGACCTGTCGCACTGTGCAACGGAGGTGTACAATGAAACTTCAGTAGATGCCTTGGAGCAGTTCCGGGATGTTGCGGGATCAGTGCAGCTAGCTGCGCTGCTGCTGCTGAATCAACCGATGGTTGCGTTTGAAGTGGAGGAATCATCGGAAAGTAGAGAGCGCTATCTAAGGGAGGAGTTGGAGCTTTGGGGTATGATATGGGAACTGTATTCGTCGCTTTTGGAGAGTAAATTGACCGAACAGCGGTCCGATCATCAGAATGCAATTCAGTTCGTGGAGATGTGCTTGGAGCAGGCAGTGTTTTTCTTCAGTTACACTATAGAGTACGTCAAAGTCAGTCTAGAGGAATGTTTCGCTAGGTAAATAAAGAAAACCCTGCATGAGTAACCGAATCGCTATATTTTTAGTTGTCTAAGCATGTGTCGTATGCAAATCCCAGTAGATTGTACATGGTAACCAAAAAGTAGAATTGCAGTTCTTCGATACAGGGATGCATAGTTCCAACCACGGATTCCCGCAAAGCGGCGTGGCTGTCGAATTCCCGTTCAAACTCCTCGGTCGAACTGTACACCTCTTCATTGAAGTGATCCAGTTCAGCATCCAATCGACCTTCGATCTCATCCGGTTCCTTCACGGGATCAACCTCCGCTAAGGCATCGACGGCCGTCCGTAGCATCGTGCTGGATTCGCGATGCAGTGTCCACGACAGAGGATGGAACCTGATTTCCACGTCCTCCTTCAAGAAGACGTACATTTGGCTAACGCACATCTGCAGCCACAGTTCGGAACGCTCAATCTCGTCATACAGCGAAGCCTCGATCGTATCGATACAGTCATGATTCGCGTCCGTATCGTTACGCAACATAGTCATCTGACGCAGAACGTCCTTGTTGATCGTCTGCAGCTCGTACGTGGCCCTACCAACGTACTGCAGAACATCACCCTCGATGAAACTTCGATGCAGATCGCTATTTTCCCGATAGGCGTTGCTCAACAATTGCAACATTTCACGATTCAGATCCTCAAACTGCCGCTGGTAGATGTTGAGAAAGCCTTCACCGTAGACTACAGCAGCAAAGGAGAGCGCTGCAACGAACGTAACCGAGATGCACTTGAACATATTGGCACTACCTTCCGATGGGAACTAAAAACCATTGCCCTCCCCAGCGTTTGAAGGACTTCATTTCGGACAAGCGATAAGATTAGCTAATCAACCTTGTGCAGTTTATCTATTCGCTTCAAGACAATTACTCTCCGCGTAGTACATAATATTGTCGATGTTTTGTGGCAGAATTTCGACCATTCCATCAGAGCACTCGTAGATTTTTGTAACGACCTCGGCTCTAAGATCTTCATGTTGATCCAAGTCCTGCTCCAGGTCCATTTGCCCGATGATCCACATCTCGGTGAAGTGGTCCATCTCCGCGTCCAAACGGCCTTCAAGTTCGTCCGGATAAACGAGGGGGTTCCACTCCGCTAATGCATCCAACGTAGTCCGCACGATGTAGGTTGACTCCCGCTGAAGGTTGGCAGCCAATGGATAGAACCGAGCTTCTGCGTCCCACTGAATGGATTGATACAGATCACCGACGCACAACTGCAAGAACTGCTCTGCTTTCACAAATAGCGAATCCAACGAAGTTTTCACCGAATCCATACACTCCTGATCCGCTCCGGACTGTGCCCTGAGAGAGGCTAGCTTCAGGTTTGATTCGTAGCGAATTCTCCGCAAATCTACGGTCCCATTGGCGATTTCCACTAGGATGTCCCGACGCAGAAGTATGTTATGAACTCGATTGGTCTCCCGTGCCACCGTCAAGCCCCACGTGATTCTGTTGCTTAAATCGGCGAACCGTGCCTGGTACGACGGTAGGAAACTACCACCTCCACACGCCACTAGACTCAGCAATACAACGACCAACAGCATCTTCCGGCAGTGACTGAATGTGAACCAGTTTCAGCCAATAGCCCTGGCACTCGATTTGAAAACAACAATTTCCCACCAGATAAGATAATGCCTAGCCAGGACTCGAACCATGGCTCAGGATTGCGTTACTCCGTAGTCGTGACTTCGCAATTGGTGGCTTATCTTATCACGTTTGACGTAGGTTGCAATCGCTGCGACCAAGATCTATCGTCTAGCACTATGCGTCTGCATCAGTCTGAACTCATCAACCGAAGCACGATGTTGCGGAAATTTTTGCTCTTCACGATAGTTATTTTGGTCTTCGCAACGAGGTCCACCTTCGCCAACGAGGACTACAGTTTCCTGGAGCGCTTCCAGACAAACTTCTCTTCCATCTCCAATGAAGTGGAATTCGAATTGCAGCAGAAGCGTGAATTCAATGGGCTGCTGATTCGGGAGTTTAACCGGGAGATCCTGATGGAGTTCGCGATCATGATTCCACGAATGCGGCTGGCTCATGACGAGTTCATACAGTACGTGAAAAACCGCGATGCAGTCGATGACGAATGTCGTGACTATGTGCTATTCCTAGCAGATCTATACATGTTCTTCCAGGAGTACGACATCCAGGATTGTGCCTACCTGACACATACTCAACTGCGGGAGGACTCGCTGTATCGGTTCCTACCGTACGAGCACGAATTTTCCCGGGAAAACTCACGGGCAACGTTCCAGGTGATCCAGACCTTGGGACGTAATCGTATTACCGATGTTGACGCCATTCAGTACGAACTGCAGGACGAGCTAGACTACTATCTAGGACTGCGGGAGTTCTATAAGCAGTTGTTGAACGACGAACTGACAAAGCACGGCGAGGATGCACATGTCACGATCAACATACTAGAAGCCTGTATCGATTATGCATTTTACTGGCAGGACGACGATCATGAATACCTGCGAGGCTATCTGGACAGTGATTGCTTGTTTTAAGTTGTTGAAGTTGGGTTTTTTTGATCAATAAACAAACACACTTCGGAGATAAGGGTTATCTGTTAACGGGAGATATCACAGCACGAGATCTGCGTTCGATCATGGTAATTTCGGATCAATAATTATTTACACCTGAAGATGATAAGGGTTATCGCGTCTCGCGGCTTTCAGTCAGTCATGTTTTGGAAGCTATCGATAACTGTCGGATTGGTCGTGCTCGGCGCCTCTTGCTCCGCCGACCCTCTGCGGTTTTGGGAGCTCAACGAGCAATTCGCAAACCTGAGTGCTGATTCGACGGTACTGGTTCAGAGTAAATGGCGTGAGAATGGTCTGTTGAACGGTCTGCTCAACGAGCAGATCGTGATCCGTATGGGTGAAATGGTGTATCAAATACGGGAAATGGATCAAGAAGCCTACCGGGAGCTGCAGGAAGCCACAGACATTGACAATGACTGTCGAGAGTACCTGGAGTGGTACTATGCGCTTGCCCTAGGGCTTCAAAACTCGGATATCCAGCTGTGTGCAATCTACGCCTATAGTGAACTGTTTGCGGACACTATCAAACGATTCCGGCCCAGGGCTAAGTACTTAAAGTTGACGAATACTCGAGTACTGAGTCAGGTTCTGAGGAGTCTTGGTAGTAGCGGATCATCGGATATCGAAACGAACTTGGAGATGGAGCTACGGGACTACAAAGATCGACTAGCCGAGCAGACTGTTTTACTTCAAGATGACTTGGACCTGCATGACGAAGTCCTGCAGGAAACCATCGACGATTTGGAGGGCTGTAGAGACTGGAACTTGCTATTTCAAACGCATGACCTTCAGTATATTAGAGATAACATCGAACGTAACTGTCAATAAAGCTTCGTAACTCTAAGATTCTTGAGCACAATAAATATCTACGTTATCCACCGCCGCCTGCATCAGTGCCAAATGCCAATAGATGGCGTAGCTGTACCACCAGTCCATCTCTCCGTGGACCAACTCCTCTAATGGCTTAATGGCTTCGATTTCCCGCGACAGGATCTCTTGGTATTCATCCCAATGTGCCTCGTAGCTCGACAGCTCATCCTCCAGCTTGTCAACCACTTCGTCCAAGTGGTCCACGAACCGAACTACTCCCAATGTCTGCACCGTTTGGGACAGAGCTCCAGTATTCTTCCGGTTCACGGTACGTACCTTCGGCTGAAACCGGTACGTCGCATCAAACGACATGTAGTAGTCCATATCGTAGGCACAGTACATGATGTCCATAGCGCCAAGTTGCACGTAGAAGTCAAACGTATCCTGAACGTCCTGCCGGCAGTCGTCATTGAGGAGTTCATTCGCCTCAATCGCTGCCCTTGCATCGTTCGTGATGTGCCGCATATCTATGGTCAGATTGCCAATCTCCCGAACAATCCAATCGATCAGCTGCAACCGAGCCTGGTCGTTTTGTTGACTGAACGCATGGATTTCCGGTTGAACCCGTTGACTATGTTGGACGAAGCGTTCCTGAAAATCCATCAGAACCGAAGGCTGACCCCAGCAGGTCCACGCGGTGATAACAAGAAGGGATAGAACTATCGGCAACATTGTTAACTGATGATGGCTGCAAGTAAACTAACCATTACAAATTCGGATGGTTTTCCGATGCTTGGACTTCCTTATCTCGAGGGGGTTGTAAATCAACGCCGAACACAATGGGACCGGTTTAACCGAACCGTTTTGCGTAAGCGCAGATAACTGAATCGACTTATCGTACGCTCGGCTGAGCGGTTCCTAATTATTTATTAGTGCAACATTACATAAACTGAACCCTAAGCCTTATTCCAATCTCCACAGTAGTACTCGATGTCCTCGATGGCCCAATTCATGAAAATATGGTGCCAATCGATCGCGTAGGTCTGCCATGAGTACATCTCGTTTTGAACATCTTCGGCAAACGGTTCCATCGCCTTCAGCTCATCCCGAAGCAGTCCCTGATATCCGTCCCACAGGTTACGGTAGTAGTCGAGCTCTTCATGCAGTTCGCTCGTCGTGTCGCCCATGTTGTCCAGGAACTGGTTCCGTCCTAATGATTGCACCGTTTGGTAGACCGCTCGACTGTTCTCTCGCTGCATGAACCCGATCCGTGGATTGAACCGATAGGTCGCATCGTACCGCATGTAGTAGTCCATGTCCTCAGCGCAGTACATGATGTCCAGCTCGCCAATCCACACGTAGTAATCGAACAGATCCCTCAAATCCACCAGGCACTCCTCGTTCACATCTTCGTGGTTCTCGATGTACGTCCAGGTCTCGTCGGTAATCCGACGCATCTCCAGCGTCAAGTTTCCAATCTCCCGAACGATCCAGTGGCTCAGATCCAGCCGAACTTCATTGTTCTCCTGGCGGAACTCCTGCAGCTGTGGTTCCACCTCGCGGCTATGATCGGCAAACTGTTGCTGTAGTTCCGGGAACGGTGAAATGGCCAGGGAACTGCCCACCAACAAACCCAGTAAGAGGAGGTTTCGGAGCATGATCTCTTGAAGTATTCGTCTGCTTTGTAGCACACTTTGCGCAGCACTGAAAGTGGCTGGAAGCTGACTAGGGGTTGTCCACGAATTATTACGTCAACTACTGTGGGATGCAATAAATCTCTCTTCGATAAGGTTTTTGATTGTGCTAAATTTGGCGCCGCTTATCGGTGGTTCCCGTTCGGGGGTTTACTACTAAACCGTACGCGTACATATGTAATCACCAAAATAGTTGCCCATTCAATTCAATCACATAAAGGAACTGCATTGCGCCGTAATAAATTCAGTCCTTTACCGACCTTCCTAAAAAAAAATGCTACGGGTCGCTGTATTCTTTGTGGTGTCGTTCGCCCTTGGTTCGTCGACCGGCTCGCCGCTGGTGGACTAACAGGAGCAATTTGGCGAGCTTAGCCGTAGCATCGAACTGCAGTTGCACGATTACCGTGCCGAAAATGGTGACATCCGCGGCAAAGTGAACCTCCGGATGTTGGACGCCATCGGTAACCTGACAGTCGAGATGAGAAACATAACCTGGGACACCTGGGCACGGATTGAGACCCACGAGCTAGCGAATCCAGAGTGTTTGGAACGTATTCGGCTGGCATTTGACGACTCCGTGCGGTTCGGAGAGCATGACATTAAAAGCTTGGCGTATGATTTGGCATGGTACATGTGGGCGGATTCGGTGCGTCGGTTCACACCAGTGGTGTTGCTTGCTCAATGGTATAACAGCCGAACGGTCCATCAGACGGTGATGACGCTGGGAAGGAATCAGTTCGTGGACAACATGGCCGATACGGTGTACGAACTGCAGGATGAGCTGGACTACTATCTGAATCTATGGGAGGCGAACCAGGAGCGACTGCAGCAGGAGATTGCCGATGTCCAATATTTGGTGGACAATGTGGAGTACAGTATTGGGTGGTGGCTTGAGTTCACCGTGCGGTGGTATCTCGTGTTTATGCAACTCCGACTGGATAGTGTGTACTTGTTGTGCGTGCCGGAGAGTGACGCGAAGAACGCAAGGTCCCCAGATGATGATGTTATGATGGCAAAAGTTCTGGAATTCAGAAGCAGGGAGTTGCGGAAGCTCCCGATCTAGGATGAATGACTCCGTGCTCATCGTCTTGCTGTAGAATAAAACTATTAGGCATAGTGACACGGTTGTTTAATATCATCGTCAAAAAATCGTTTTTTTTTCAAAGCTACCCAAATTTCAGTAGGATTCACCCAGATCAGTCGAACCTGAATGAACCCACATATGGGTAAACTAAGTTGGGAGTGACAAGTTGACAAATGAACAACAACGATTCTACTCAAATTTGGGTAGTTTTGAAATAGCGTGTAGACGATTATGAGATGAAACGTCAACCAAACCGTTTGTTTACCTACACGGTTAGAAAAAAGTACCCAAAATTAAGTTCTTTTCACTCATCTCGGCACTATAGTGCAGGAACCCAAAAGTAGGTAAAGCGGGTCAAAGTAATTTTCATTTACTTGTGTGCAGTTCGTATGGAATTTTCCACTGGCTTTTTAACCAAAAGTAAGTTAGTTGTACCCAACAGTAGGTAAATATGATTATACTCAACGTTGGGTTCCCACACTTTACTACCCCTGTTGGGTGGTTTTGCTCCTCCGTTTTTGACAACATTAGAAGGAGAAAAGGAGACAAACTAGTCAAAAGTATGTAAAAGTGAACTGGCCGTTGGGTACTTTTTTCTTACCGTGTAAAAATGCCGATGTTTAAAACTCAAATTAACCCATATGTTATGGCTCCTTTTGCAAATTTCCATCGGGAGTGGTCTTATTTTACTATTGTCCACATATCTGAACTGATGTATATCTTATGGTGGTAAGCTCCAACTCGGATTAACTTTTAATACCGTCCCTGTTTGCATGATCTGCAAAGTGTTTGCTTAGAGTCGTGTTGAATAACTCTGATGTCGACGTAAAAGCAACCGGACATTCTTAATCGGGATTTAATCCGAGGATAATACCGGTTGGAGCTTACCACCATTAGAGAAATAATTATAATATACACGCTTATTCTGGTCGACTCAAAATTGAGTCGAATGTACTCATCTCAGCGGCAAGTATGGCTACTCAAAATTGAGTAGCCTTATGTTGACTCACTTTTGAGTAAACTACGTTCTCACGTAGACTGAGTCAAATCCACTCGCCGGTATTTTCAGTTGCAGGGAGGGTTTTTATTTTGGTTTTCATTCAAGGAAATGAAAATTGCCTGCTCCGGATTCCTTCTACCGGAGCAAAAAACGGTTCAACACCGTTTCCCTAAGCAATTCGTACTTACCTGAAGGCATTCCAGCCGGTTTTGAGTAACATTTTCTATGAACTTTCCTCCGACATGACTGGCATTTTTTCCAAGTCCAGGATTTTGCTGACTGAGTGGCTTTTACTCAGTTTGACATTTCTCGTTTACTCAATTTTTGACAACTCGATACATCGGACGAAAGTGAGTACGATCGACTCACCTGGTGAGTAAGCAGAAGTTAGCGTGTAGAGCTCATTCCAAAGGAAACTTTGAATCACTGAAACTGCGCCTCTTTCATTTATGACAGGCAACGCACAGTGGGCAAAAATTGACAAAACCGCGACTAAATTGAATATCTCGGCTGCCAAACGGTTTCAGTCACATATTATACATATTCTCAAAGGAAAAATTCTGCTGAATCGATTGGTGGTGGTCTAATTGACCGGAGACTTTTGCGTACCGAGATAGAGGGCCGGGATCAACCCGAATTCCTGGTAAAGTAGGAAATGTCACTATTTATCGACATAATTTTGCACTTTACTTGACGTATTTTACTCGAAATTGATAGTACTAAGTATATATGGTGTAAAGACACCAAATACGCCCTCAGGTAAACTCTACTGGCCTAAAGAAGGATCCGGAACGACCGATAAAGTGGCCACATTATAAAAATTGTTCTAGAACCATGTGATTTTTTCTATGTTGTTCAGAATCAAGAGATCAAAGCGTATTTAATATGGAAACTATATTTTGGGGTATAGTGGCCATATTCTGGTTCTCCAGATAATCTGGATTGACCGATAAAGTGGCCACATTATAAAAACTGTCCTTGAACCTTACGATTTTTTATGTTTGTTCAGAATCATGAGATCAAAGCGAATTTTATATGGAAACTAAATTTTGGGGTATAGTGGCCATATTATGATTTCCCGGATAATCTGGATTGACCGATAAAGTAACTCCGTTCAGTGGGACATCCGCTCTGCAGCCAAAAAATCAGTACCAGGACATCCAGCCCTCACTCACCTGGAAGGGAAGTGGGAAGCCAGACGAATTGCAGACCGCCTTGAACAACATTTCAAATTTTTATAATGTGACCACTTTATCGGTCAATCCAGATTATCCGGAGAACCAGAATATGGCCACTATACCTCAAAATATAGTTTCCATATAAAATACGCTTTGATCTCTTGATTCTGAACAACATAGAAAAAATCGCAAGGCTCTAGGATCATTTTTATAATGTGGCCCCTTTATCGGTCGTTCCGGGTCCTCCTTTAGGCCAGTAGCGTTTACCTGAGGGCGTATTTGATGTCTTTATACCATATATACTTAGTACTATCTATTTTCAGTAATATACGTTAAGTAAAGTGTAAAATTATGACGATAGATAGTGGAATTTCCTACTTTACTGGGAATTCGAATTGATCCCGGCCCTCTATCTCGGTACGCTCCGGCCAACGAGACCACCGCCAATCGATTCAGCAGAATTTTTCCTTTGAGAATATGTATAACAAGTTCACTGAAACCGTTTGGCAGCCGAGATATTCAATTTAGTCCCGGTTTTGTCAATTTTTGTCCAGTGTGCAACGGGTGAACTAATTCACAGCAAGCGTGCGCATTTTACCCGTCAATAGTCCATCCTATCCAATGACATTTATATAAGGTCTGGGCCAACAGGCAGCTTGCTGGTGTTAGAAGCAAAAATGTTGTAAACATTGCTGAACATCTGCGAACACATAGAAATACGTCACTGCCGTCACAGCTGTTTCGTGTAAAAAGATACACATTGCAATAAAATACGAACACCACTAAACATTTGCACATTTCACTAACACCAATAAGCCCTTTGGCCCAGACCTTATATAAATGTCATTGCATCCTATGCGCACGAGTATTGATGGTCCGAAAGTGAGGATAACAATAACAAACTAACACGGCGAATGAGAACGACTCAATTTTGAGTTTAGTTCACTCATAATCGCCAAAAGTGCAGGAACTCAGCGATGAGTTGATTTGCCTCATGTTTTCCCAGGTTTTTCCAGGATTTTCCAGGGAAAAATTCCCGAATTTGAGAAAAGTAAAGATTGGATTCACTCAGTCTATTGGTACTACTCCGAGACTGAATAAAATTTTCGTCAATTTCCTCATTTCCCGGCAGATTTCTTAAGTTTTCCACAGGAAACCATGAGACAAATGTTACTCATCGCTGAGTTCCTGCACTTTTGGCGATTATGAGTGAACTAAACTCAAATTTGAGTCGTTCTCATTCGCCGTGAAAATTTGTGACTGAATTGAAAGTGAGGACAACAAACTTCGCACTTGAAAGATTACGCAATAGACGAGTGCACTGATGGATTTGAGTTCACTCACTCGACAAAAAGTGACACAACAGCGGGGCCCTGTTTACTAAAAATGAACACAAATGTGCCAAAAGGGGGGTTATGAAAGCTCTCTACCTAAGAAATCGACAGTGAGCATGCATAAGGGCCTATACGCGATGATCGATTCTCTTCGTCGATTTTCTCTTTTGTTAATAGCTCGCTAGATTTAACGTTTCTCGGTGCGTTTGCTGTTGCTTTTGATAACCAATACAACCTGTTTCTACTCTAAATTGAACAAATTCTAGAAAATTGTTTCGCTTAGCTGTAGCAATGCAAAGAGAAAATCGATGCATGCTCTCTGTCGAAATGGTCTCGGAAGTATGCTCAGCACTTCTTTATAGAATAAAACCTCGCATAACATTTGAAAAGGGCCTATCCTCGTTGATCGATTCTCTTCATCGACTTTCTCTTTG